GAAGAAACAAGTTTTAAACAAATTAAACAAGTTTCAAATAAATTAAACTAATTTTTCATGTGATCATTCTTAGTGTGAGAAACCAGATTTTCTTGTCTGCTTTTCTTTTATCTGATGGTATTCGAGAGATGGATTGCAATAAGCCAAAAGCAAATTAATAAGTGTAGTAGATGTAACAAAAACCTTAAAAATATGTGTTTGGATGAAATATTATTTAGTTTAATTGCTATAGCACTTTTTGTACTATGATGTATATGAGATAAAAAAATAATTAAAAATATAAAAACATGAGTTGAAAAATATATTTATAATGTAAACGAAATATTATGTGAAATAATTTAACTATCCAAACACTCTTACTTGTGTCTTCTATTCGACTCAAGATGATCATTCTCCCCCTTTTTGTTTATGTCATACTTCGTGTATTGTACTTTTTGTACCACATTTATCAGCAAATTTTAGTACCAGTCTAGCTATGACAGGCTAGATCTAATCACCTTGACGGATAACTAGAATCCCATAAAATTGTCTGTATCTAAGCTGGCATGTCATCCTTTCATAGTCTCTCACTATGAGAGCCGTCTTCTCTCTATTCTAGAGAGAGAAATCTCCCTTCTATGGGAGTCGTGCTTTTCTAAACAGATTTTTAAATTTTCGAATCCCAAAATAACAGATTCTTCAATAAAATTTCTTTCCTCTTTTAGCATCCTTTCCAATTGTAGCGGTTTTGCTTAGAACATCCAATTACTCTAGGATAATCTTAACATTGAAAGTTGATAGCCATATAATTCATCCTATAAGTTCGTGAGAAGTGTTTTCCATCCTGGTCGCTATAGTCTGTTTCTGCTTTTCACTGTACTCGATTGCTTGTGGTTTTCTAGTGTTTTGCAGGTTGTTCATCTTTTCCATTGGTCTAGAGTCGTAGCTGTGTGGTCAAGGAGACGAAGCTTGGGAGCTGGAAACGGTGACGTTTCTGGAGCTGGACTAGCCTGCAACAATCTGGAACTGGAGGTAGTAAAGCCTGTGGGATCAGGGAGGATGGAACACATCGAAGAGGTAATGAGGAAATTCACTTTATCAGAAAGTGAAAGGGAGGGAGTTTGTTTGGGGAAGGAGGATTTGGAGAAAGGTATAAAGGAGTGTAGATTGAGTTTAATAGGGAAAGTCTGGGGGGAGAAAACAGCTAACATTTCTGGTATAAGGAGCTTTGCTACTAATGTGTGGCCTCAGCTAAGGGGCGTGAAAATTACAGAGATTAAGGCAAATATGTTCCAATTTGTTTTTGAATCTAGGAACGATATTGAGTTGGTGCTTAGAAAAAGGCCGTGGATCTATGATGGTCAGCCTCTGGTATTGTTGGAATGGCAGGCAAATCTAGAGGAGGAGGAGCAGGCGTTCAATAGGACCTTAGTATGGGTTCAGATTTGGAACCTTCCTTTTCATTGGATTACTATGGAGGCTAGGCATAAGATTGGAGGAATATTTGTTGGCGTTAGAGAGGTCATTATCCCTCAAGGAGGAGGCAAGGAAGGTAAGCATCTCAAAATACTAGCTGAGGTGAATCTTAGAGAACCGCTGCCTAGAGGCACGGTGGTGAAATGTAATGGAGGATCTAGATGGATTGAGTTTAAGTATGAAAAATGTCCAGATTTTTGCTTCTGTTGTGGACTGGTAGGTCATAGTGAGAGAATTTGTACTAGGAAAGGGATAAATATGGATAGGGAGAATCAATATGGTAATTGGCTTCGGGCCAGTTTCCCTAGGAGTCCAAGGAAGAAAGGTGGTGGTGATGGGGAACAGGAAACATCAAGGAAAGGGGGATACAGGATCAAGGCTCAAATGGGGAAACTGGGAGCCGATTGTATCCCCTACTCACCTACACTAAAGAATTCCATAGAGGGAACGGGAGGACAGATATTCAATCCAATGAGAAGGAGAACTGGGGACCAATAGCTAGGGAGGGCATAGGGGAAGAGTGGAGTGGGAGGCAGGAGGGTGAGAGGATTAGTAAGTATGTGGTAGAGGGGCAAGAGAGTGTGCATGGAGGGCAGGTTTTAGAGGAAGTAAAGGAGGTAGCAGAAGCAGAAAAGGGAGGGAGCTTGCTGATGCTCAAGACAGTGGAGGTGGGAAGTGCAGAGGAAGGAGGGAGTGGCAAGGATAAGATGTGGATTGATAGTGAGAACAATCACTGCTTGCACAAGGGTCGGAGTATGAAGGAGGGGGGAAGATCAGCAGGAAGGCCAGAGTAATAAAACCAGCACGAGGAAGTATAGGGTCAGTAAGACATGGAAGAGGCTGGTGCAGGAGGTGGGTAAGAGGAAGCCTCTGCTAGAAATTAAAACTGTATAGAATGGCGTGGAAATGAGAAAGAGAAGGAAGGGAGCAGGTGGGGGGTGAGCTAGAAGGGAACCTGAGGGAGGCTGAGTGTAAGAAGAAAGCAAGGCTGAGTGAAAGGGTTAAGGATGTGTTGATGCTGTCTGAGGTGGTGGAGCCCTCCCTTAATGGGGCTCCCACCCCTCAATGAGAGCTCTGGTGTGGAACTATCGAGGTGTGGGGAGCCCCTTGATAGTTCCCCAACTTAAGGAACTTGTACAAGTCCACTCTCCATCTCTGATATTCTTATCAGAGACAAAAAAGAAAAAGACCTTCATAAATAGTGTTAAGCAATGGGTAAAGTTTGATGATTTATTTGTGGTAGACCCTGTGGGGATTGCAGGGGGTTTAGCTGTGATCTGGAAGAGGGATATACAGGTGAAGAGTATCTTATTTACTAGTTTTACTATAGAGTTACTTATAGGGGATCAGGGAGGTAGTAGAGATTGGTGGTGTGTGTGTGCTTATGCCAGTTCAGATGATAAGATTAGGGAGCAACAATGGAGGGTGTTGGAGAGGAGAACACAGATTTGGGGTGATTGTTGGGCTCTAATGGGAGATTTGAATGATATCACCTCTAATGGGGAGAAGTGGGAGGGGGTAGAATCAGCCCTGCTAGTGGTTTTGAAAGTTTCACTGGCTTCATTAATAGGACCGGCCTGATAGATATTGGTTTTGAGGGAGTGCCTTGGACCTGGTGTAATAACTGGGACAATGAAGGAGTGATAAAGGAAAGGATTGATAGAGTGCTGGCTACTAAGCAGTGGTGTGGCAATTTTGGAAAGGGTAAAGTTACTCATGCTGAAACAGAAGCTTCTGATCACTGTGCCTTGTTACTAGACCAGACCCCTGTAGCAGTACCAAGAAAGAGGAGATTTGCTCTTGATAGGAGATGGATTATGCAGGAGGGGGTTGGGGAGGTGATCACGGAGGCATGGGGGAAGGAACAACAGGGGTCAAGGTTGTATAAAGTACAGTGTAAAATTAAACAAGTTTGTATGAACCTGCTGCATTGGAGCAAAAAATTGAATCTGAACTCAAAAAAGCAGGTAGAACAAATTAAAAAGGAAATTAAAGAGGCGAGGGAGAGTCAGGGCAGAGAGGATAGAACAAAAATTATAGGACTGAAGAGGAAGTTGGTGGAGGCTTACAAGAGAGAGGAGGTATACTGGAGTCAGAAGGCAAGAATTAAATGGCTCCAGGAGGGAGACAAAAACACTAGCTTCTTCCATGCTAGTGTTATGAGTAGGAGGAAGCAGAATAGGATTAATAGTCTGAAAAGGAGAAGTGGAGAGTGGTGTAGGAATGAGGAGGAGGTCAGGGAGGAAATTGTGGACTACTTCCAGCAACTGTTCACGTCTGATGATCCAACTGATTTCAGTGCTATTTTGGAGGAGATCCCATAGACTGTAACTGCTGACATGAACAGAAAGTTGACAAGGCCAGTCTCTGATCAGGAAATTAGTCATGTAGTTAATTCCATGCATCCAAACAAGGCTCCTGGATCAGATGGTATGTCCCCTATCTTTTTTCAAAAATTTTGGCATGTTGTCAAAAGTGATGTTATTAGTGCAGTTCAAAGTTTTTTTCACTCTGGTCATATCCTAAAATCCATAAATGAGACCTTGATCAGCCTTATCCCTAAAGTTGATTCACCAAATCTGATTACTGAGTTTAGATCTATCAGCTTGTGTAATGTCATTTACAAGATCATTTCAAAAGTTCTAGTCAACAGATTTAAAACTGTGCTAGACTGTTGCATTAGTTCCTCTCAGTTTGCCTTTGTGCCTGGTAGGCAGATTCTGGACAATGTCCTTGTGGCACACGAGAGTATTCATTTTCTTAATAATTAGAGAACTGGAAAGGATGGTTATATGGCTATCAAGCTTGATATGTCTAAGGCTTATGATAGGATAGAATGGGTGTTTCTGGCAAAGCTGATGCAAAAAATAGGGTTCTGTCCAACTTGGATTCAGTGGATTTTAGAGTGTATAACTAGTGTCACCTACTCTGTGAATGTTAATGGGGAAAAAAGGGGGTTTATCAAGCCTTCTAGAGGCTTAAGGCAGGGGGATCCCCTATCCCCCTACCTATTTCTGGTTTGTACAGAAGGTTTCTCTGCCCTGCTCAGAAGAGCTAATAGACAAGGTAGTATGTCTGGAATGAGGATTGCCAATGCAGCTCCTAGCTTGTCTCACATTTTCTTTGCAGATGATTCACTAATTTTCTGCAGAACCAAGGTTGGGGAGGCTGTGCAGCTTATGAAGGTGTTGGAAGAATATGGGAGAGCATCTGGCCAGTTGATCAACAAGGAAAAGTCTTCTATTTTTTTCAACAAAAATATCAAAGGGAGGAGAAAGGAAGAGGTGCTTAAAGAGCTGGAAGGTATGAGAGAGGTTCATCAGAGCAAATATCTTGGGCTACCTATGGTTATAAGAAGATCAAAGAGATAGGTATTTGAGTTCATTAGACAGAAAGCAGTTAAAAGACTTGGGGGTTGGAAGGAAAAACTTTTGAGCCAAGCAGGAAAGGAGACTTTGTTGAAGTCTGTCATTTTAGCTCTCCTTGCATACGTGATGTCTTGCTGTAGGTTGCCAAAGGCACTGTGTCAGAATGTATGTTCAAAAATGGCTAAATTCTGGTGGGGAAAGAAGGAGGATGAAAAGAAAATTCACTGGATAAAATGGAGTAGAATGACAGATATCAAAGTTGAAGGGGGTCTGGGATTCAGGGATTTGCAGGACTTTAACTTGGCATTGTTGGGGAAGCAATTATGGAGAATTTTGATGCAGCCTAATTTGCTGATGAGTAGAGTAATGAAAGCGAGGTACTTTGGTGGGAAATCCATTTGGGATGTACAGCCAAAAGGATCAGACTCATGGTGCTGGAAGAGTTTACTGAGTGCCAGAGAAATGCTGGAGGAAGGACTAAGAAGGACGGTGGGAGATGGTGAATCCATTAAAATCTGAGAAGATAGGTGGCTGGCAGGGGCTGGCAGGGATAGAGGATGGGAAGGTAAGATCTCAGAGGAAGGTTGATAGCAAGACCTAGAAGGTTAGTGAGCTGATCAAGGATGGTAAGTGGGATAGACAATTGCTGATGCAGGAATTTGAGGAGAAAGACAGGTTGCAGATACTAAAGATACCTCTGAGTCTGGGGAAGGTACTGGATAGGATCTACTGGGCAAAGTCAAGTTTCGGTGTATACTTTGTCAAGACTGGCTATAAACTAATCAAGGAAATGAAGAGTAGACAGTATCAACATAGAGGAGCTTCAGAACCAAGTAATAGTAGGACGATCAAGTCTCAGAATTGGATTTTTCTGTGGGGTTTGAGCATGCCAAATAAACTCAAACACTTCATCTGGAAATGTTTCCAAGGAATACTGCCAACTAACACAGTGGTGAAGGGAGAGTCTGGTAAGGGGGACCATATGTGCAAGTGCTGTGGAGATGGCTCTGAGACATTAGAGCATATGTTTTTTCTGTGTTGTAATGCTAGAGCAATTTGGAAGGTGGCACCATTGAGGTGGGATGGACTGGAGGAGTTTAGGAATAACTTTTAGCATTGGTGGGAAGAACTTAGGGGAGCTGTGGCCCGAGACAGAGGGAGGGAACACATAACTCTCACGGTAAACATTTTGTGGCAGATATGGAAATCCAAGAATAATAAGCAGTTCAATAACAAGAGCAGTGAGCCTATGATGGTGATTAACAACGCACTAATGGAATGGAATGAGTTTCAACTGGCACAAGGGGGGGAGCAAAACATGACAATCTGGTAGCAGGAGAGCAGGAGAAGGGCAGGAGATGGGATACACCGCAAGCTGGCTGGATCAAGCTCAACACTGATGCAGCTCTGGACCAAAAACTTAACAAGGCAGGGTGGGGTATAGCGGCCAGGAATAGCTCAGGGGAACTGGTAGGTGCATGGACGAGGCCAACTGAAGGCTGTGCTGAGGCACAGGTGGAGGAAGCTTTGGCAATATGAGAAGCTATGGTACTAGCTAAACAAATGGGATGGAGAAAAGTGGAGCTGGAATCAGACTGTAAGTTAGTAGTGGACAAAATCAATGCAAGGGAGGAGGAAGTCAGCATAGCCATTATTCAGTTGGATATTTGGAGGTTGATGAAAGAATTTGACAAATGTTGTTTTTCCTATACTAGAAGGAGCAACAACTATGTAAGTCACTATTTAGCAAAGTTTGCTATAACACTGATTGATGTAGCTGAATGGAAGCTTAGCTTCCCAGCATGGCTGCTAGAATTAGTTCAGGCAGATTTACAGGAGCAGTTGCTCTGACTGTGTACCCGTTTATGCTTAATACAATGTTATCGTTTGGAAAAAAAAAAAAAAAAGCTGGCATGTCATTAGAGTCTAGAGAAGGGTATTTAAAATAACTGACCTAAATTCAAGCAGTAAACTATAACACTTGAGCTTGAGTTCACTGAGTCCTAAAAATTGAGCTTATGCTCAATTTAATTTTGACTTACTCCAGCTCGAGTTTCTGTTTGATGGGATCTAGCTCAGTTGAGTTTAGCTAATATAAATTAACATTTTATATAATTTTGAACAAGTGATAAGACATTTCACATACATAAATATAAAAAATTCAATGGGTGTCTGTACACACATACACACATATGTACAGACACACATGCATAGATGACGGAATCAGAAAAATTCCTTGGATGGGGTGAACTTTAATTCAATTAAATCTTAAGTATGTAATTTAAAATATTTTTAACTTCTTATGAGGGCAAAAGTTAAATTTAAAAAGAAAAAATTTCAAATTATTCAAATTTTGTAGGAAGAAAAACTAAATATTTTTGACTAGCTATTTTGTTCATCTACAAAAGGTAGTTTTTATCGAATGCTTTAGTAGTACATATTTCCCTCGCAGTGTTATTTATTTTCTTGAAAAAATTACTTTTGCAAACATGTAGAATATCTGTTTATAGCTAATGATCATGTTATCTGTGGACTTCAAAATTGAAACATTTAGATGAGGTCATTGTGAATCCGAGTGTGAGACATAAAGAATTCATGTTTTCGTTTTTTGTTTTCCACCCTTAAGATGGTAATCAAGAGAAAGAAGATAGAGAAATGAATAGTTATATCAACTTTATATGTTGATGCTCAAAAAGAAATAATATATTGATGCTCATTTTGAGCATACAACTTTGAGTATCATTATTGTTGTTTTGTTAAATTTATCCTGTGACAAGAAAGAGCTTATACATATAAAAATTGTTTTAATTTTTTGACTTTAAAATTATAATTAGATATCAAAACTGGGCAATTAAGTGAAAGCAGAAAAAAAAATGCAATTAATAATTAGAAAATGACAATATCAAAAAGCAATGTCTTTATACGTTTGCCCGAGATATTAGCTCTACTACTATACTACGTGCAATGGTAGAGCTAAGACCTTAAGGTTAGGAGGTTATTTGCTTCAACTTATGGACTCTATCATCACAGGCAAATTTTTTTTTTTTTTTTACATAATAAATGCTTTTATTCAAAAACATGGATAATAGATAATCAATTTGGATGGTTGTGCCAGTGATTCCAAAATTAAAAAGAGTTTTAGGAACAATAATAATGTTCAAGTATTTATATTTATTGTTTTTGTGCACTATACAACTATAATTCGTGAAAACTGAATTCAAATGAAAATCATCAACCAAAAGTTTTAAGGTTCTTCTTTTTCTTTCAAATAGTATTTTATTTTCATTATGAATATGTTCATGTTAAAAGTAGGCAGTGAATGTATTTACTCTAAAAACAAGTGGCAATGTAAAGGAAAAATAAGAAATTTTAGAAGGCTCAAATGTCAGATAAAATTAAAATTCTAAAATATTTATACCATGTTTATGTATTTTTCAAAGTTAAGAAGGGATAATTACCTACTTTCACTTGAACATGACTCTTTCCTATTCTTTTTCATCAAATTTTTTTCTACCATTTTTTTAGTGAAAGTGGGAGGCTTTGAATTTGGAACCTCTCACTTACATTCTCTTCTTTCATAACATCCAATCCATCCCACCCCTTTTTCATCAAAACTGAGCACTAGTAAAGTAAAAAAATAAAATAAAATAAATAAGCTAAAATAAAATGTAAGAACTCTTTAGTTACAATGAAGGCCTTCAATACGTTTTGTTTTAATGCTCCCCAAGAATGTAGGTTGTTTATATTTATGTTAGTCAACGAATTTGTAATTTCGCTCCACCTCATAAAATCATGTATGTAGTATTTACGTAAAAAGAGTGGAACATAATAGGACCTCTTGTGATTTCTGTCCACTCCACTAGGGGAAAAAATGGAGGCCGAATGACTGTACGGCCTATTCCTTCTTTTGGGCTAACAAAGATTTATTGCCGCGGGAACAAGTCCAGGGAGTACAAATTATTAAAGAACACTATGACGTTGCCTAGAACTTCTTCTTGAACTAAAGAAGGGAAATAAAATTTCTGAATAAGTATTCTATTTTATTTGGCACTTTGAGATGCTTACATAAAAAGTTATTTATCAGAAAAACGATAAGGATGAAAATTTAGAAGTCGTCTTTGTCAACTTATTAGCAATTGATGCAAATAGAGCTTTCATTCAAACAGTGAGAGGTGAGCTTAAGTTTGAGAGACTTGGCCTTTCAGTCTTCAAATATTCATAATATTGTTGTGTAAACGGATTAGTACTCCTTGTTTCTCTTTCGGAAGTTAATTTTTGCTTTTGTACTATTTGGAGATAAGGTTTATGTCCCCTTCTTGTTTTTCTAATTTGTTTAATAAAATTTAGATGTGGTGTCCTTCCCCCATAAATGGGATTTGCCCAAAAAAAAAAAAAAGAGTGAGAGGGCTCATTCAAAGACTAAATGAAGAAAGAATTTCTTGCAGATAATAATCAAAATTTCATTGTTTGATAGATACTTAATTTTAGCAATTTCTGTTGTTTTACATTAATTGTTGCCGTTGTTTTACTTCATTCCAATAGTGGTGCTAGAGATACACGCCGAACTCCCATAGGCTTTGTTCAAATAAATTTGAAAAAAAAATATTTGTTCTGCTATTTGTATAGCATTTGTCAAGAATTGAACTTCAGGCTCCCAGGGTTGAAAGTACATTCTTGTTAAGTGATACCGTTCGTCAAGATTTTGTGGGTTTAGGCTCAAAGGCAAAAACGGTGATGAGAGAGAGAGCCGTATGTGACAATTAATGGTCAAAAAAAGCCATAAAAGAAAAGGCCGCAAATACTGTTTTCAAATCTGCGGCTGTGATCTATTAAACCAATAATGAAGCCAATGTAATAGAGGTTGCGGGACGGTTCTAAAAAATCCTTTTCAACCACCGCAAGGATATTTCGAGAAGTAACATATGTATACATCTATTTCAATTGTTACTGTATATTGTCTGTGATTTAAAAGTTTGCGAAAGTGTCACGGTCACGGGTGGATATATCTACAATGTAGAAAATAAAAATAAAGCGATAAAATAGCCATAGATTTGAGAAAAACTAGTTTGGATTGAGAAATTTTCCAAAAGATTTAAAATTTTCTAAACATTCTCAAGGTCAGTTGGATTACTTAGAAGTATTTGAATTTGTAATGCATCAATTATTTAAATTCCTCTAGCATTTACCATTGGCACGATAAGTAAGGTAGTTTACAACATTCAAAGGCAAGATAACTAAAGGCAGACTGGGTTTGTTTGGATAGGAGATTATTTGAAATAATTACTATAACACTTTTTGTGATATAATGTATATGAAATAAAAAAATGGTTGAAAAATTGTGTGTATGATACTAGCAAAACAAGATTTGAGATTTTTATTTGAAAGTCTTGCAATCCAAACACACTCGTGTAACATTCAAAATCACAATATCTGATAAGTGAATATTTAACATACATTTTGTACAAGTTTGGCATGAACTTTTGGTATGTTTTGAGAAGATTATAGCCATATTTGAACTCTTTTGGTGATAATTGCTTAAATATTGTTTAAGTGTTCAAAATTTGATAAATGAGTAGATTAACTGTTACTTTTGTGAAAATGTGAAGGATATTGATATATGGAATTCATGCACGAGATGACGAAAAAATGTAAGGATCATCTGGAGGATAAAGTACAAGGATACTAGGAGCAAAAATGAAGAAAAAGGAAGAGAAGTAAAAAAATTGGAAATTAATTACCAGCACGGATCCGAGCTCGGATCCGTGTGAACAGATGGAGATCCGAGCCCTCGTCTGTATCTTTGGAGCAGTGCATCCGAGGTCAAACGATCCGACCTCAGATCTATAAGAGAAAGCCTTGGATCAGCCTTGATCCGAGCTCGGATCGTTCTCCACCCCTCGGATCCGAGGATCGGATCTGTCACTCTCTTCTGCAAGTGGCACAGCCGTTTTTTCTCACCTTTTACACAACTTTCCAGCTATCTTGGGAGAGAGAATTCGGTGGCACATGCTTCTGCAACAAAAAGGAAGACAAAATGAGTTATTGACAAGTCAAAACAACATATCTTTTGACTTTCTTTACAAAATCTGAGTGATTACAATCATGAAGAAGAAAAAAGTGTCTTTCCACCACCTTTTAGGCAGAAACTCAAGGGAGAAGCCAGGGCAGAGCATACGCAGGTAGTTTTTTTTCTTGCAACAAGTTGCTCTCTAGTTAGGAGTTCTTGGGGAAGCATTTGGAGTTTTCACTTGTAATCATTTTGTGCAAGAACATAGCAGAAATTTGAGGGCTTTACCATCAATTGGCTAAGCTTTCTTTTATCTTTCTTGTACTTGTACTTTATGATGTTTTGTATGAATAAACTTGTGAGTTTGATTGTTATATCATTCATGAGTAGCTAAACTTCTTTATCTCGGGAGTAGATGAAACTTATGGCTAAATGATATGAATTAAATGTGATTTACACTTGTTGTATCTTGTATTGACTTATCTATTTGTGTTGTTGTAATTACTTGTCATTGTTTGATCACCAATAGCTT